AACAATTTTTTAAAAATTTTAAAAATTAAAAAAATTGTTAAAAAAATCTAAATACATAATCAAATAAATACTCCATGAGTTTTAAAAATATTTACATAACATAAATTATCTTAGATCATTAAAAAATACCTAACAATTAGTACACGAATAAAACACATTACTTATTCTCAATTCTCAATGAAAAAGTTAACTTCAAATAGAAAGAATGTCACAACTAAACACTTCACAAATAGAAGTCTAGTATTGCAGAGTGCTCTAAAACTAAAAATTTAATGAATAACAAAACACAACATTATACACCGTTATATAAGGGACTAAGGGTACATTGTCCCTCATATGTGCTTCCATTAGAAAAAAGAGACCATTTTCTTTGAGGTCGACTTAGGCTCATAGAAATACAGCAGCCCGTGAGGATTGTAAATGGCTCGGCAGAGTCAAGAGATCAGCCTGGGCCCACTTATCATACTCTGGTATCACCACATAAAAAAGTCCTCGAGATGATCAAATCGCTAAATAATAGGGTGTGCTTTTATACTATGTTATTCTTACCTATAGTAGCTCATTATATTTGGAATCACATATGGGAAAGGATACTCTTGGAGGATGTCAATTGTATCCTACAAAATGATCATTCAATAACAAAGTTTTAAGTAATTAAAAAGATATTACCTCCCCTAAAAAAATTACCATGAAATGAATGGAACCCCCAAAAAGAAAGAATGAAAACCTTCTCACCAAGAAGTCTTTCATCTTTAGTCCTATAATTCAATCATGTGTCACACTCAGAAAACAAATGCCACAATGTTGATGGACACGAACAAAACAAATGACAAAGGTAACACTTTGATTCCTTAAGTATACATAAACACACATGTATGGACAAATCTAGCATGTTAAATTTAAAATATTAACTGAACTTAGCATAATAGATGTCTAACAATATAATAATATTCCAGGATCACTAAGAAGAAAGCAATTACGACTTACAAATTCAGGAATTCAAAAAAAAGGTTCAATTCAATTCTAAATGCTACCTTTGTCTTAGTGTATTTTATGAATCAAACTGGATAATTTTATGACTTTTATGAATCAAATTGGATAAACTTTACGCTTCAAATTTTCTCAACTTGCATAACATATTAATATAAAGAAATGCATTTTGAAGCTGCTCTTCTATCACTGTATGCTCATATGATCTATGTCCCTTCTTCACTGGGAAGACATTAATATAAGTAGAAGTAAGATTTATGGATTTACTAAAGACATCCATCGCAAACAAAATGAAAATTCAAATTGGACGGATATGGTGAAACCTTTATGGTATGAAGTACAAAATTGATTTAAAAAATGCATTCAAACTCACCTAGCTTCTTCGGATGAGGGCAGCCAGTAAGCTGATGCAATTGGGAGATCATTCTACATACATGCAGCCTGCAGGGGTGTGCTCTCTCTTAAGTAGAGCAAATCAAAAAATTGAATTCAAGAATAAAAAACTTGGAGCAACAAAAGAACCTTCCGTTCGATTCGTTCATGGCTGCCGAAATTCATCTAGGTCGAAATCCTACCTGCTTTGCCATTCTTTTGGATGGAAAATCAAACAGAAATTATAATTGATAGATGTGTACATACCTGGCCATCCTTTTCCTTCATCCTAGCAAGATATAATCGTTGAAAAGGAGCTACATTCAAAACCCTAGCTCCATATATGGTTTCCGGCGAGCAGATGGAGATCACTGTTCGTGTGTTCCTTTTTCACGGATTGAGCGAAGAGAGAAAGGCGACTGGCTATTAGCTTTTCCCATACTGTCTATTGGAAGTGGAGAGCATTGAGCACGTCTCAGTTGAAGATTTGAGAGGATGAAAAGAGGTATCAATAGAAAGAGAGTATTTTTTTTAAAATGCATTCAAACTCACCTAGCTTAACATCCTTAGGATTTGTCTAAATATTAAATACCATATATTAATTAACACCATTAAAGAGAGTATTTTTTAAAAAACATTACTCCGTTAAGATTCAGTATCATCCAACAAAGGGTACGCAAGAGCCATAAAAGGCACTTTTAAAAAAAGCCATATTTTGTTTCTTTAGTACGAAGGCACAAAGCCTTATTTTTTAAAAATAAACAACGTAAAGAAAATTTTAAATTCAAAAATGATAAACCTAAAAGCTATAAACACACTTCCAATTTTTTATTTAGGTTTTTTTTGTACAGTTTTGCTTTTAGTAAGGGTAAGATCAGCTTTTCGTTAAAGAAAAACTTAGTTTAAATGTAAAATCTGATAAAATATTTCAAAAGAGAGTAAATAGAGCCTATATAAATTATCACTTTTAAAAACAAAGTACAACTCATAATTTCTTCATAAATTTATTAAAATGGCAAATCCTTTATAAAACATTAGCGTAGAGAATCAGATTTGGGGAAGTTTTCGCACCAACCATTTTAAGAAGAATTGAAAGAAGCACAATTATGTATCGAAAAACACATCTAGGTGGGTCACAACAACGCTCATCAAAGAGCTAGTCGCGCTAAGAACAATCCCTAAGCCTAGACCTTTTCTTTCTTCATCCTACACGCCAATCCACGAAACTGACTATCCATCTTCCAACAAATACACCCAAGTTTAAGCACAATGTCTAGGCTTTTACTTTCAAAGTTCTCTTTATGTTAACCAACTCTGTCAAATATTCAGCACATTTTGCAAGTTGTTAATTACTTTCAAAGTTTCCTTTAAATTGCACCCAAACCACATAATGAGCATAAACAACGAAATTATCAACTCATCATTCCTATGAAATCAAAGTTAAGCCACATGTATGCAGGTTCAAAGAATTGTGTCCCATTTAAAAAGCTCTGAGTTCTTGCACCAAACATTTTTTGTCCAAAAAAAACTTCTGGTTAAGAAAAGAGTATTATTATCACCATCAAATTTAGAGAATGAATTGCAGGATATGCACATCTGTAATTGCCAATATTGATTTTATTGAACATATCTCTGAACAAAAACAAAAATAAAGGAAAATTATAGTTAAAAAAGACAAAATGCAATTGCATCGCAGATAAATTGTAGGTAGAAATTTAGTATACCTGTTTTTTAAAGAAAATCAAAACTATTTCAAACCTGAATAATAGGTAAATGCCGAAGAAGATGATGGAAACAATGGATGTAGTTAATAGATTTTTAGTAACTCTTTTAGAGTTGAGATGGAAAATCAAACAAAATTTTTAATCGAAGCTATGTACATACCTGGCCTACAATTTCTACCCAAAGCTCCTCCATTAATGGCCTCCGAAGCTCCTCCGTTATTGGCCGCCGAAGCTCCTCCGTTATTGGCCGCCAGAAACCATATGGTAGAAAAGATCGTCGGCGTTGTCGTCTCCTACCTTGTTCTATGTGTCCGCCATAGGAAGAGGAACCCTAGATGCTTTGCCGTTTCGGTGGAGAGAAGAGAGAATCCGTTCTTTTTTTATGGATCTAACGGAAGGAGTGTGGCGTATAACTCGAGAAAAGTAGCACGCTCCATCGATCCACGTGAACTGCTGGCTAAAAAGACAGCATGCCCCCCCTATATTAATTAGTTTTTCAGCCCTGTAAATACGTGCTCACACTCCCAATTGTTCTTTTCATGATTACCTAAGCTGCCCTATTCAAAACAGCCGCCCTATGTTAGAGCTAGGATTTTTAAACAACCTTGCGCCAACCATATGGTGTCCAATATCTGAATTCAGGCCCACCACATATCACAGCCCAATATACCCAAACCCGGCCCGATAATTTTAGGCGGGAACACTGTTCATTTTGGCCTCCTACCATTGTATACATAGAGATAGAGATTTCAAGGGGAGCTGCCGCAAACCATCGCCTCACTACTGTCCCCAAACGTTCCTATTTTTGGATCCGCGACTAAAGAAGAATATGACGAGTCCAAACATTAAGACCACTAAACAACTTGTTGAGGACTTAGATTGATCTAGTAAGATTGATACAAGACTAGTCCAAACATTAAGACATCCAAAAGATTGATAACCCAATGACTATTTTAAGAAAATAAAAATACTAACTCCTAGTATTACTTCCAATGTCTCATTAATTTATTCTCATTTTGATTTCTAGAAAATTTAAGAGGGTGATATTTTTGTTAACTCGTTTTAAAGACCAAAATAAGAGAGTAATATTTTTGACTATCTCATAACTCATTTTTAAGATCAAAATAAGAATTCACATTGTCATTGCTACACTGTCTTACTTTTTGCATTGTCACACTTTAACTATCACACTAATCACTATTACTTTGTCATTTATCGCTGCCAGCCATTAAAGAGTTATCATCGATCATCGATGGTTGACTAATCACACAACCATATTTCACTTTCTATCATATTTCTATCACATTTCCATCATATTTCAATTCCACAATCTAATTTCACGTAGCAAATGGAGATTTAAACTTTATGCTTCATTTTTTCTCGTTTTGAGAGAGAGAGAGTATTTAAAATTTGCATAGCCCAATGATGACGTTTTCTCTAAGCCCATGGGCCGCAATTTAGAGGGTGTTTGTTTTTTGGCCAGAAGAACTTCTAGCCTTTTTTGTCTGCACCGCGCAGACACGCGCAGATGCTGAGCTCTGCAGATTGTTTATTTTTTGGAAGACATTTCACTACAAAAGGTCTTCCTGACATCTTCTTGGAGAAAACATGAACCTATGTCTTCTAACATCTTCTCCATTTTTTTCTTCTACTTCTCTTCACCACCACCACTGTCCACCACCGTCCACCATCACCGCCACCGTCGTCCACCACCACCGCCACCGTCCACCATCACCATCGTCGTCCTCCACCACCGCCACCACCACCACCGTCCACTACCACCGCCGTTAACGTCCACCACCAACCTTCACCACTATCATAATCGTCCATACACCACCACCGTACACTACCACCATTAATTTATATAGCCGTGTACAGACATTAAAAAACAAACAATCCATTATGGTCGGCAGACTTGCAAAAAAACAAACACCCCTTATTTACACCCATGACACGTAGAGAAGACATATCTCCCGTTTTGAATAGATCTCGTCGTCGGTAGCCACCGATCATCGTCGTCGTAGCCATGGCTTCGAGGGTAAAATCGCTTTTCCAGAACCTAAAGCGCTTCGCTAAGGCGCCCTGGAACATCACCGGACCTCAATCGAGCCCGGAGTACATGTCCGCCCTCCCGAGGGCGACGGAGTACCGTGTTTTCTGTCCCGCCACCGTGCCAGCTAAGGCCATCGTGCCGTCGTCTAATCCCGAAACCGTCTTCGACATCAAATACTTCTCCCGCGACCAGCGGCGCAACCGCCCCCCTATCAAGCGGACCGTCCTGAAGAAGGACGATATCGTGAAGATGATGAAGGAGCAAACATTTGATGTCAACGATTTCCCAAAACCGTACTTAACTGCTAAGGTTGAGGAGGACTATAACGCAATTGGTGGAGGCTATCAGAAATGAGGTATTCAATTGTACTGTTTTTGTTCATATGGAGATTCCTCTATCGTGTTTTCAGATTTTTGCTGTGATCTTCCCTCCAACTTGTTAGATGAATGGAAGGGTTTCAATTTTAGGGTTTTTTTCATATGTTTGAAAATCATGTGGTCTGAACCTTATTTTCAGCTTTTGAAACATCTTTTTCATCCCGGTCTTCTGCACAATCAGTATAAACTAATCCTTTGGATGAAATTGTTTGATACTAGACACTATATGACTTGATGTATAAAATCATAGAGAGGCACAAGTTGATTCCAGTAATGCAGTGGTGATCCTATGACCAAGTTCTAGAAACTACTTCTCTTAACTGATTATAGAGTAATTTGAACCAGTAAATCATACTCTCTCCGGCTCGATTTAGTTGTACACTTTTTTATTTTTGGTTCTCTTGAATTAGTTGTTCACTTTCCATATACAATAAATTATCTAAAATTTCATAGAGATAGAGCATGAGCATCGTTGGTACAAATGAGTGAGAAACTCATTTGAAGGAATTATTTTACAATTAAAACTCATTTCTTAAAACTCATTTGAAGGAATTATTTGACATTTTAAACCCATTTCTTATAAATGAGAAGTGAACTCATTTGTAGGACAACAAAATCCGGACGGGGGATTAATTCTATGTTAGTTTTAATTTTTAACTCGAGAAGTAAAATACTAACCAACAACATTCCAGTAAGGTCTCACTAGTTCAGTCTATGGAGAGCGTGCTACCTATGAAGGTAGTGAGTCGGTTTCCAAAAGATCCTCAGTCCAGAAAAACATAAAACCAGGTTAGAGCAGTAAGATATTTAACGACGAACACTAAGAGTAAAACAACTACAAATAAACAAAAGAAGAGTACATAACAACCATACCAGGCGCTCACATGACTGTGGATCATTGCATTATGTGATGCAACCTGGGGTGCTATAAGGCGCGCATCGCGAACCATCCTTCTTTAAAAAAATCATATTATGGTCCCTTTCCTGCCTTGAGCCCTTTTTATCACAGTCTTCTCTCAATCTCCTTTTTTGACTTTCTGCCTCTTCTCTTTTCTTCAACTCTCACCCAACTCTTGCAGCCTTACAGGGTTCTTTGAAGTGTGATGGCAAGCTTTTAGCAGATTTTTGTTTCTTCTTGGAGTTTATATTTTTCTTTGAGGTTTTTATCTATCTTTTTTTTTAAAAATAATCTTTCTTGTACGTAACTCAGTGGCAACAAGTCAGCACTCAATTTTTTTTTGGTATAGTTACTAATATATATGTATTATTACTAGTTTAGAGGTGCTATGCTACTTGTGTCTCAACTTGCGCCTCATGTTCGTGATGCACGTGCATCAATGGTGCACCACACATCACGGCGGCAAGGGCCCTTAGTGCATCGGTGTGCATTGCGCCTTAAGCAACTATGATCACAACATATTGATAAACAAATTTTTACAAGGCATCCTCTCTACGCCTAACTCCCTAATATGACTTGAGTCCCAAGTCAAACTACCCTATAGCTTCAATTATCAAATTCCAAAATTTCCTATCAAGGGTCATGTCATTGACATAGTTATGAAAGACCAGAGGCAAGAGGCAGGAGAGGTAGTTTTTCAAGGTGTAAGGCGGCTGACTAAAAGGCACCTGAGATGCGTCAGGCCATCAGCCCACTAAATCCTTGTGTGAATTTAGTGTCTCTTGAAGTTGTATAAGTCAATTAGTTCATGTTGATCTTTATTTTCAACATATCCCTTTGAATCATGAATTCCATTGGCCCATCTTTGGCTTTCAGTTAGATCTTAATTTTCAGCTTTTGAGATGCTCTAACATCTTTATTAAGCTTTTACAAAGCCTCTTTACACAATCTAATTTTTACACCAAATATAGGGCTGAATATATTTTATACCAAATAAAGGACTTGATCTGCAAAATCATAGTAAATCATTTTGATTTCGACCCTATGATGATTTTTAAGAAGCTATTGTTGAAATTAAATGTTTCTAGACTTATTTGAAATTTATAATTAGTTTTTAAGAAATTAATGTCGTCCAGCTCCTAACCAAAATGGATAAAATAGACCAAGTGCAAAAGACACCCAGGCTTGCAACCTAAGGTGTGCGTTTATGTCTGCATTTTTCTAGATTGTTCTGAATCTTTAACTTATTGCCATACTGCATAAATAATTTTAGTCCATCTCTGGCATTCTTTTCTATGGTAAATATTCTTTGAAGCTACGCCTTATCATGTACTCCGTAATATTCCACCTCAGTTTATTTATGTGCTCCACACCATGTTATTGCTAATTGGGGCTTTCTCCATAAAAAGTGTATTGCATAATTAGGTTATAACTTAACTAGAAGGTATTTTCACTTCTGAAAAGTTTAATTTCTTTTGAAGATCTAAAAAAATGAAAGCATGAGCATGCATAGGGAAGCCCAGGGTCAGTCGACCCTCTTCTCTCTAGTGCTGACTGCAATATCGGAAAGCTCAGGTGTCATGTGGGGTGTTGATGTGTGACATTCAGTTCCGTGAATCTAAAATGTCATGTAGTCAAATGAAAGTTATGATTTGCTACTGACAACTTAAGAATAACAAAGGCGAGATTGAAAATGTATGGTTAAAAAGAGGAAAGCAAAAGGTTGAAGCAGGGATAGCCAAAAACTTAGAGTGTGACTAACAAAAAAGGCGGGCTATTTAGAGTCAATCCGTGCTAAAAAAGAACTGCAATGTAATTGACCGCCATGACCCACACCCAAACACTTAAGGCATCTCATAAAAACTTGGTGGGAAAGTTGATACTCATGAGCCCCTTACTTGTTAATCACATGGATGAGGGCCCCTTATTACCCCAAATCCCCCAGGGAAACTGTTACCTAATCATAATCGGACGCAAGAAGCAAGAAACGAGAAGAAAACCCATAATCATCATTATAATCATCATTAAAATAAGCTACTCCCTCTGTCCCAAAAATCCTTTCCATTTTTCACTTTTCATCCGGGCCAAAAAATACTTTCCCTTTCAATTATAATTATCTTTTACCCATACTAATTATTAGCCTACCTATCACATCATATCTATTCATTATTAATCTACTCATCACATCCTATCCTACCCCACAATAAATGGCAAAATTGGAAAGTAGCACCAAAATTACACATTTCTTAAATCCAACCTTTTTCCAAAGTGGAAAAGTTTTTGGGACAGACAGGTTGAAAATAAGAGAAATTTCATTAAATTTGAAGAAACAATAGTTGCAATGGTGAAATCACGGTCCAAAGAACACAAATGATCTAAGGTGTATTTAAGCTATGGAGACTAAGGGTTTCTTGTAAGATGAAGAAAACCAATTAAAATACAGGAAAGCCCTATTTATAGACTTGGAACTAACACCTTAAGTTAATGCCTATTAGGAACACTGTTCCCATCTTCACATTCTCAGCTCTGAAGAGTGCTGTCCGTGATAGAAAGAGAAAAACCATTCTTCATGGCCTGTGAATTTCTTTATATGTCTAACGACTTGTTGATAACTGGAACTACATTATGTCGTTCTGTTTAATGACTTGTTAGAAGCTGGAACCACATTCCAAATGTTGTTCCCCGCCCCTGCAAATCCACTGAAGAGTTACTGCTTTGTAGCATGTCCACAAACATGGTTACCTATCACGTCACTCTTCTTCTGACTGTAATTGGAGCAAAAATCACCAGGCTCTGTAACAAGATGGAGAGAGAGCTTCATTTTATTAAATCGTTCTCATAATGTTTTCTACTTTGGCTGGGTGGTTGAGGTTCTGAACAAATACAGGGTTTAGGGCGTTGGAGCGATGAGTGGGAATTGCAAATAGCAACACGGTAGTTGGAGGTTCCAGCTACCCAGTGACTTTTCTCTTAATCCCTGTATTAGTAGGAGATACAAAGAAATACATTATAAAAATAATCTGTGATTTATCAAAACACTAAAGGGTATCCTTTAATCAGATGAGCTAACAATGTTTGCTTGTGAACAGTCATGTGAAAATAAGGACTAAATGACAAATAAAACATTGGATGCCACTTCTAGTCTATGCGCACATGGGAATTTCTTGCTCTTCTCATTAGTATATTGTCCTCTGCTGCTGCCTTTTCCCCATTTTCAAACCATCTCGCGTGGGAATTATTTAAAATCATGTTTGAGTTGGTATCAAAATGTTGCTGCTCCCTTCTATTTGCATGATGATAGTAATACACTTGGTGTGAGATTAACACTAGTTTACGCCTTTACGTATACACACACACACACGTACATATATATTTGGTTTCATCTTGTTTTTTTTCCTGTCAGGATTGTGATGTTCAGACCTCCTCTTGCTTTTAATAAAGTGTAGGCTTTCATTGCAGCCTTCCCTGCCGTGTATTTACTATCCGGCTTGCTGCCTCTTGTTTCAACTCAAAAGTGTTCTTTCCCATTGTTCAAAACATTTGTAATTGGAACCCATCTACTTGCAGACTGTAATTTTTCTTTTGGCCCTTTTACTTCTCTGGGGGTGTTGTAAACTGATTCATAAACTAAGATTTCAATTTCAAAACACCGTGTTCTTATACCCCNTATTGGAAATTTCCACTCAAATCTAAGGGATGACACAACATCATTAGAGACCCTCATGGACATACAATCGTTGTCTTTGACTATTCAACATTGGTGTCGTTTTGAACTTCAGAGTGGCATAACCCGACATCATTTCAAGATCAAGAAAATGACATCTACCCAAACATGTGAGAGGTTGGTTTATAACTTTTTCATAAGAGAGTAGAGTTTTCAGAAAGTTGTTTGGAACTAGAATGCAAATCTTGTTTCGAAACTCATGTAAAATTACAAGTGTAGGGGAAATGCCCGCACCTAAACCTCTAAATTCATGGAGTGGTTTTGCAAGGATACTTTGTAAACATGCTACTTTGCAAGGATAATTTTTTTAACAAAAAAAATCAAAAAGAAAAAAAGATTTTTATACGAGAAGATACACAAACATGGTATACACTCAAAGTGTACCACAGAAGCACTCTTAGACATAAGGAGTACTGTTTCATCGGAAGATTCATGACGTAAAAAAATTAAGGTTAAAAGAAATCTCGAAACTTTTAAAAAAGGAAGGATAATTTAACTAGGACTAAAAATGATTCATATACTCCGTATTAAAATATGATTTTCAATGTTTCTATAACGAAATAGGCTTATAATGTAAAAAATTGTTGATATATAATGTCAAAAACATTGTGAAATGACAACATACAATACCAAGGTTTGGCATTGCACAATACCAAAGCTCATACTTAGAGGATGAAAACATGAGAGGTCCTGTTTCGGTTTAAGTTTAATATTTTTGTCCTATTTAGGTAAATATCTTTAAAAAGTATGAATCTATTTTTTTTTTTTTGCATTTTTAATTTTTCAAGTTTTTCATTTTTTAAAATCTTATGAGGGATTGGAAATCCTAGCAATAAAATGGAGGATCATTTAACAATGAAATGAACATCTTACAATTATCAAAAGAAAATATACTCCGTATTAGCCAAGGATCTTGTAGTCCAATGACACCGTTATGATTCTTCTAAATGAGAGGCCATGATTTTTCTTGTCCTTTACCAAACAAAGTGTAGATTGATAATTCACATGAAGGCTCTGTTCATTTTGATTGGAATTCAACAGTTGAATGTTGAAAGAAATTGGAAGGAGTTAGAAAATGTTAGAATAATTAAAGAATAAAAAAAATCACTCAATTAAATGATCAACCAAATGAATACCGTACTATATAAGAAAACTAGTTTTGAATGTAAAAAAGAATTCAGCTTTGTCCGTGTTTGAAGTGTTATATTACTCCGTATAAATTTAGGTATATAATGTAATTGTATATAGTCATCATATGTAAATAAATTTTTCAAGTCGTTATTAAAGAAACGGGAAGAAATTTAAAAAAATCAGAAAAAGTTGGAATAATTTAGAAATTAATTTTTGTAAGAACTGTAGTAGTGGTAAAAAACATCTATGACCTTAGCAATTTCTGCAAGCAATTTGTGTAAGTAGTGGATCTTATTGTAGAAAGCTGGCCTTGATTCTAAAAGCCCAATATAAAGATACTGCATTCGACCCGGTCCAATGAAGCGAAATGACCATCATGTCCTCCACAACGCCTAGCTTTGTCGGTCTATAACTACACATCATACAAAATCTCCGGGCGCTCCCTGTCGATCTCGTCTTCTTCGCTGTAGAATCTCTGTAAATATTCCCATCCCAAGTCCCAAAACGCCATCGTTTTCTACCTCGACCTTTTATCGTAAAGGGGTCGGGGGTTAAAATGGAGGGATATCATTCAGCTTCAACGGTTAGGGTTTAGACGCCGGGGTTTTCATCAGCAGCAAGAAACCCTAACCGCAGTAAAAATCTCTGGTATGTTCTCGAACTTCTCAGGTTTTATCCTATTCCTTGCTTGATTCTAGTCGGTCAATTCGAGGTTGAAACGCCCCTGAGACATTGAGCTGTTGTTGGGATTTTATTGGCGAAATGTGCGAATCTTGGGGGGTAGATGGGTAGTCTCTTGGGAGGTTTAGTTCGATTGAAGTGATATGAGGTGTTGAATATGAGCGATGGAGGTAGGGAGAATGTAAGAGGGGGTCAGTACAACTGTGGGGCATCAAAGAAGAAGAAGAAGGTTGCGGTGAAAGACGAATTTGCCCATGCTATTGCTAGAGTTGCGGTTTCGCAGATATTGGAGGGTATAGGGTTTCAGAACACCCACCAGTCTGCGTTGAACACTCTTTCCGATGTTGCTGTCAGGTACATTCAAGATGTAGGAAAATATGCCAATTTATGTGCAAATTCAGCAGGTAGGAGCCATTGTAAATTGTTTGATGTGATTGAAAGCTTGGAGGATTTGGGCTCCTCCCAGGGGTTTTCTGGTGCCTCTGATGTTACTCACTGTGCTTTAAGCTCAGGAGTACTCAAGGACATCATTCGGTTTGTGGATGAAACTGAGGAAATCCCTTTTGCCCGCTCTATTCCCAGGTTTCCAGCGGTTAAAGAGCATAAACTAAATGCCACTTTTGTGCAAACTGGAGAAAACCCTCCCGAACATGTACCTGCTTGGTTACAGCCATTTCCAGATCCCGAGAGTCTCAATTCGGTGGAAAAGAAAGAAATAGATGACAGGACTTTCATGTCCGAGCCGGTTGAAGATAGGAGAATTGAGAAAAGGCCTATGCTGAATTTGAGCCAGCATTTGGGTGCTAGTGGCCGTGAAGATGCTGCGGAGGAAAAGAGAGTAGCTGAATGCAACCCATTTCTTGCAACGCCTCTGCAATATTGGGAGAAAGAGGTCTCCCAAGTTCTCATTCCAGCTAGACTTTTTGATAACACCTTTATGCCACAATCAGATCAGCCAATTACAAGATTCCATGACTCTGTGCTGGAAGCCTCTGTTCCCTCTGTTGAAGCAGTTCAGAGCAGGCCAACTCATCATGAGGATGGAGGGAAAAGTGTTCTCGGGGAAAGGAGAAATGCAGTGAGATTTCGGTTAGAAAGTGGAAGAAGGGCATTTGGTAAAGCAGCAAGCCTATGGTCCGACGGTGATGAGGAACTGGACTCTCCACCAATTAATGATCATGAGAAGGTTAACGGTAAAAGAATATCTGAGGTAATTCTCATAAGTTCCAAGAATATCTCACAGGAGCAGGCTCAATTGTAAATTAGGCATGTTTTGTTAGACCTAGTATACTCTTTTAGCAAACTGGGAGGCAGACTTTGCCAATCATTGTAGAGGACATATGTATCCGTATATGAGGTTTTACAGACTGCTGGAGAGGTATTTTTCCCACTTAATGATCCATTGAGATGTGTTATTATTAGACATGTCTTGGACCTTTGTACTTGATCATTTCATTGATGAAAGTTTTTTTCTAAGATATATTCTGTATTATTGAAGTCTGAACTGTCCTGGTTGTGCTGCACAAGGTTTCACATTTTTGAACAAATGGCATTTAAAATGAATGGATGTATTTCTATACCCTGTCACACACACACACCAACCACATACCTGGCCAGTTTTTACCGAAATGAAGGATATAATATGAACTACAAGAAATGGGGTATTGCTTTGTTGCAATGTACGAGAAGCCTGATTGCTGTTTGAGTTGGCTGTCATTGTGCAAAGCACAAGATGATGTGCTTTGTTGGCCAAAGTTTAGCTAGACAGTGGTCGAAGAGGATAATAAAGACCCTCTACATGCCATAACAAAAACCGGAAATTATTCACAAAATTGTTATGAGGTAATATGGCGAATCAAGCTGCCCTTATTGAAATGACCACTCTATAAAGTATATTACTTCCATTTAAGAGTATTCATCCAATTTGTGGTTTTTGAGTCAAATTGGATAGAGTGCGATCATCAATTAAAAAAATGTATTAGATATTGGTATAAAATGCTTTCATTAGATTTATATTGCGGAAAAGTACATTGGATTAACCCACAATGCAAATTTAATCTAATTGATGATTTAAGTTTGTCCATTTTGACTCAAAAAAGTAAAATTGTAAGAATTACTCTAGGGCAGAGGGAGTAGGAAATACTTGTATCATTTTTTTCATTTAAAAAGTATGCCCTTGAGGTAGGGAACCATAGGATAGGTAGAGGTAGACCTATGAAGACTTGGAGTGAAATGATTAGACATGATTTCCAGTTTTAGAAGCTAATCGAGGATATGACATAAGATAGGAGCGCTTGGATGTCGAGGATTAGGGAGGTAGGTTAGACGTTGGTGGCAGTGGCCTATGAATCTATGATGCGTAGGACTTGTTGCTTTATCTTGTTGCACGAGGGTGTGTGCTTGATTCTTTTTCATCTCTTTCTTATCTCTCTTTTTCCTTAGAAAAGTAGTCTCTACTTTCTGGATATGGGTAAGATCTACATGCACCCACCTTCTTTTCCTCTCCTCACTTTATGGAATTTTATTGGATTTGTTGTTGTTGTAGTGCAAAAATTAAGCCCTTATAATAATAATTGACTTAAGAAAAATTCCAAACCACGTGACAGCTCCTCTTTAGGAATAGAAGTTTTCTTACCGACCAAACGGAAGAACTCAACCCAAAAGACTAGTCTTTTGGGTTGAGTTCTTCCATTTGGTCTGTAACAATGGTATTAGAGCCAACCTCGGAGTGGTGGCCCACGGAGTGGTGGCCTGGAGAGAGCCAGTTGTGACCAATGTGGCTGTGACCAACGAGGATGTTGGTCCTTAAGGAGGGGCAAATGTTATGGACTGAAACCATTGCAAGGTATGGGACTTGTCCCACATCGATTGTATGGGCAATTGATGTGGGGTTTATAGGCCAAATGGGTTCCCTCACCTATCAGACTAGTCTTTTGGGTTGAGTTCTTCCGTTTGGTCTGTAACAAGCTTTCCACTCCCATCCCTGGCCCGGACCCCAACGATGACATGTATGACAACAAATTGACTAACAGAGGAATAATTTTGAAAACATTCAGTACATAAATGCTTCTTCTTTGATCTCATCTTGATAGCAATAAAATCAAGATTCATGTAATCTTATACACCGTATATGAGAACATGGATTCCATGAAGATTTATATTTAGGGAAAGAAAATAACGCCTTTAGAACAACACTTTTACTTGTGCTATTCATGTAATCTTATACACCGTATATGAGAACATGGATTCCATGAAGATTTATATTTAGGGAAAGAAAATAACGCCTTTAGAACAACACTTTTACTTGTGCTATTCTAGGCCTGCTGCTATTACTCTTAGTTTATTTTCCTGAAATCTTTCATCCGAATGTACATATCCTTTTGGAGATTGCCAGATGAAAATATGGAAAAAGTGTGGGACGGGGTAAGAAGTTTTTACACTTTATGATGTTGGCATATGAGGATATCATACATTTAGTATTTCCTAATCTCATACATAACTTTGAAGAAAAAAAGGTTACAAGGATGTTTTGAGATGAGAAAACCACAGAATGTGAAACCATTAGGGGCTAAATAGTCGTCTGGGATGCCTTCGTGGTCTATCATGGACCGAAGCATTCCCTCTGCCAATTACCTCAGTCAGCAAGTCCTTAAATATTAGACGCTCAATATCCAATACCAATGATGGAAGCTCGCCATGATGTTCCACCCAGTCTTCCCATTCATGCTTCAAATCTGTCTTTGTGATTCTATCCAATTCATCATCCTGAGTGTATTGGGAGCAGTCCGATTCAGGCCTGAGATGGCCCATCTCTGCATATAGCTCTTTCAGAATCTTATATCCGCTCAAGTTTTGCCCGTGCATTACGGTGTGTTCTAAAGCTAATTTGCGGAGTAGAATCTCATTCACTGTATCAAATACATTTTTCCTGCGAGTTTTCTGCTCCAATTGCACCTTAAAAAATATTTTTGGGGGTCCTTTATATGTTGGCCAACTTCTTTCTTCGGCTTGTTCCAGTACATGGAACAACATGGGGTTAATTAGATGGCTTGATGGATGAAGATGAGCCGTTGTTGAGACACTCTCTAGATCTTTGAATACACCTGATGCCAACAATATTTTGGTGATGTATTGATGGTCAGAAGTATGACTTTGATAGAATTGGGCTATCTCATTCATGTCATCTTCACAAGGTACAGAATTAAGTGGCATGCACTTATGAAACAGGCTGTCAATGTTTTCTACATTCTTATGATTGTGTACCGAGCCAAGATTCTGTCCGGTGCTGAATGGCAAGTTCCCCAGCTCCTCTGCATTCCATTCTGCTCCATAAGCATTTGTAACATCATGGTCTGATAAAGTAAGAAAGCACAACATTAACCAAATGCTTCTTTCTTCATTGGGATTTAGCAGATGGAACTTATTTGTGACTAAATTTCAGCCATAAAATCTTGTTTGACCTATTGCTAATTTGAGGTAATACCCCCCTCCGGCCCTCCCCCTTCCCAAAATGAGCTTCACACTTTACTTTTTCATTTGTATCAAAATAACTTCACATTTCTTTTTCCTATTAAGGAATGAAACACGTGGCTCACAAATTTTTTTCCCTTAAAAAAATTTCAATCACAAACTTTTACTTTTCAACACGTAACGTACCTTATCTAATGTTCATTGTGCAAGCGACCTATATCAACTGAGATTGTAGAATTGAAAAAAAATGAAAAAATGTGGTATGGGATTGTTACCTCCAAAAGCTAATGATTTCGTCTTCTTCACAGGGGGCGGAGAATCTTCAATGAAGAATGTAGCATCAAGCACAGAGACAGGGCTAGGCTGTTCGATAATTGGCATTGCAACTTCTGCCATCGTTCTGTCTCTACTCAATCTGGATTCTTCATTCTGGATGCAAAGGGAAAACAAATGAGAGCTAATGCTAACTATTTGCTGTGCATAATAAAATTATGATAACACTAAACTAATTACGTAATACGTACCGTCTCTTCATGAATGACTTGTTTTTTTGCCCTCATTCTGGTATTATGATATGTGCTTGTGACTTCTGTGTCTGTGAATGAGGCCAAGCTATTGTTGCTTTCTGATTGCACTGAAGATGTGTCACCCTGTTTACTATAGTTTCCTGCTTCACTGCTTATCTCACTGAGGTGGTTATTACCTTGTCGCTGATTGGAAAAATTTGGGGTTTGCCTTCTATTTGGAGATTCTGGCTCTTTGGATTGTTTGTTTTGGTTTCTTCTAACCCTGCTCAGTTCTGATTGCTTTTCTATGCTAATCCTTCTCTTTGGAAATCTCAAACTTGCTGGTTCTTGTCTCCCATTCACGTGCTCAAACTCTTTCGGTGTTCGCACTGCAGTTGATAGTCCTTTATTCACCTTCTGTATTGAAGGAAGCCTGTAACTGGCGTTACTTTTCTTAGGTGTCAAGTTTTTTTGCTCTTTATTATTTACTATGGCAGATTGCTTTGGTTTGGAAGATAAGCACTTCCTGGGAGGAGGAAAGCTTTCTTCAGTTGGAGATGGGTGGTTGTGTTGCTGCACTGACAGCTCCTTTGCTTGGTTGTCTAGTTTCACTCTCGTTTTCTGCATTGACTTCAGTATGTGTTTGAGTGCTCTCATATCTTTACCTGATTTATCGACCTCAATTTCAGTTATCCTTTTCTCAACTTCACTATAAACAGACACCCTTTGAGGATCTGCAGAGGTTTCTTTACTTTTTAGTGATCTTTTCTGGCGGGGACTACTGGAGTCTGATCTACTCCATGGAGCAAGTTCTAGTGGAAGCCTTGAACTTGAGATTGGCTTAGCAGGTTTAGAACACGGGGAAGAAGAATTGTTCTTTCGAGAGAAGGTTTCTTGATTTCGCTGTCTGTGTTGAACATAACTGTCAGCTGAACTGGAAATTGGTGATTCAGGGAACCCTTCCAAATCCAAACCCATAAGCTTTGCCACTACACTCGAAGGTCGTCTATGGCTTCCTAATTCCTCATTTCCCTCGCGGAGATTCTGCAGGAGGAAATCTGATCTGGTTTGAGATCTTATGCACCTCACCCTACTGTCTAAAGATAGCCTCGGATGCTCCCCATGCCTTATTGTTGACTTCAATGTGGTCTCTCGTAATTCTCTTCCATCGTAAGAGAATCGGCAAGGATCTCTATTTTCCTCCCTTGCCAAACAAAATGGAGCTTCAAAAAATTTAGGATGGATCGTCGTTGACAATGGCTTCCCAGGGCTGGAATTCAGAGAAGGCCTGGGAGAGTCTATGTGCTTCATTACCTTTACTCTCCTTCCCTCATCTTTTGCCACATCTTTGGCAGGTAAAGGCAACGAACATGCTTCTCTGTACATTGAGTCCTTCACTACATCTCGGATATCATGCCACTGCTGCAATGGCTGCCTGGGGGAAGTTATGTGCTTCATTACACGGATTCTTTCCTCATCTTTGACCCCAGTTTTTACTGATAAATCCGGTTTTGTGGTTTTGATTTGGTCAAGTGAGGAGGGAGTGGATGAACACGGAGAAGAAAGTATGCTGGAATCCCTTCTTTCCTCTCTGGCCTCTACTTGCACCGTCTTTCCTTGCACTCCCGTTTCTGCTGCAATTCCGGGCTCTATACTTTTGCGGTTGGCACCTTTTATACATAATTGGAAACAAGGTAAGCAAATGTTGTAGCTATACTATGTTGGGTTGGTAAGATAAAATGCATAGTTTTATTTACTTGTTAAAAAAATCCACTTGCATGGTTGCATGTGAATATTACTATGACATTTGTTATAATATCCGTCTTGTAATCAATTTTACATTTTGACTTCACGGAGTTAAAAAACACGTTGAAAAGTTAACGCATAGTTGTAATTTGTTGAGGAAAAAAAAGAAATGTTACTAGTTGCATATGGTTTATCATTAAACATGAGAGAAGTGCAAAGTTAACTTTGGACGTAGGAACAATTGAAATTCATGTATGATTGTTAACTTGTTACACCCTCCTGTTCCATATTATGTGTTTGTTTTGCTTTCTATGTCTAATAGTTGCTCTTAAAATTATATTTAAAATTACAAATATCATCACATTAATTTTACCTCATCCCAAAATAAACTTCACAGTTTGAAAGTGAAAAGTGTATAATTAGAATTTGTTTAAAAGAAAGATAAATGATTTGAGTCACACAATCCTTTCCCTAAAAAGAAATAAGAAAAGTGTGAAGTTTATTTTGAGACGGACAAAAAAGAAAGTGTGGAGTTTATTTTGGTAGTGAGGGAGTTTGTTTAAATTTATTTTGTATTTGTAAAAGTAGTTATTACTTTAATCATATTTTCAAGATGTATATTGTGAAACTTAAACCAAAACATGATCAGGTGAGCAGCTAAGTGTGATTTTCTTCTATCTCGGTAGTGAACATGTTAATTTTTTCATATTTTCAATCCATCAAATTATTTCTATTTTTATTATTGTTGTGACTGATTAAGAGTGTGTACGGACATTTGCCCACAGAAAGAGTCATGTTTCTCTGACGTATAATCCTTTAATTTTAGTAAAGAAGAACTATTTAGAAATTATCAATTAAATCTGCATTTTTAAAATTAGCATGATCATGTTTAAATAGAACACTTTTTCACATAGTCATGTTCAAATAGAACACTTTGAAAATTGGGGTAAAATAGTTTTAAAATTGGATTTTTTTTGGAAGAAGGGATTCAGTAAAGCTACTGGCAACAAACTGTGCATTTTCACAAGTGCTTTATAATTTTAACTTTGTGCAGCAAATAACTCTTTTCTTGCCAAAGACCTTGTGGTCGAGTGGCATAGTTGTAATGGGAAGTCACAGGTTCGAATGTCAGTGGAGGCATTGACTCTTTGTGTTTCATTAGATTGAGAAAGTTTCTATGAACCTATACTACATTGTAAATGAATTAATAGTATTAAAAGAAACTCTTTTCTTCATCACATCACAAAGCATGGAAATTGCATACCCTTCAATGTTCTTTTGCTGATACGGCCGCCACGTTGTCTGGCGGCGAAGAAATGGCGCCGGTCAAACAGCTGGAATATCCCATTTATGCACCCAATCTGCTTATGTTTAACACAAGTTTGTATCTCTGAAGACATTTCTTTCTTCTTCAATTCCCTTTTTAACCCTCCAACTGGTTAGAAAGGCATGGAATTGCAGGTTTCATTCCTTAATCCCTATGCACAAAAGGGATAAAATCAAGAAGCTTTAATTTTTCATAAATCATCATTTTCTTGATGTTTTTTTTGCAGGGCAGGGTAATTGAGGAATACTTACAATATATATCTATAGTTCTGAGATGAGTAGTGAACCAAACTGAGGTATTTCTTGCTTCAGCTGATAATATTGCAGAGGAAACTGCAATACATGTAAGTGTGTGAGCTAAATCTTTAGGCCCAAGAAGTGGAGAGAAGAGAAGTATACTTTCTGTATGTTTCTCTAACAGAGAAGATTGTGTGATAATATACAATATATACTGGCTATAGGGTATATGTTCTTTGAAAAAGAGCTAGGTGGGGCCCAGTGAGGTTCATATAGGATGAGGCGGGGTCAATTTGGGAAAAACAAAATGTTTTTGGATCAAAGATGCTAACTTGGAGGTGAGGGAAGCATGGGTTTGGATATAGGTGGTGGGGTGGGGGTGGGGATGGGGGGGTCAAGGGGGTGGGCCAGATCTGGTAGTACTGTAGTATTTAGGAGGAGGAATGAGTCATTTTCAT